CCCCCTTCATGTCCCCAGCTTTCCGCTCCCGGAACCCATGTCACCTTCCTTCATACTTCCAGCTCCCTCTCTCGGTCTCCCCCTTCGTGTCAGCAGCAGCTCTATTCGGCACTGGGCAGCAGTTCTGTGTGATGAGGGGGCGGGGATTACACCGCTCCCACTCATTGGCTGCTGCCCGGCTGGATGATACTTCACGCTGCGCCTGGAACAAGGTGAGGGGAGCAGCGTGAAGCATGTAGGGCCCAGGACAGGAAGAAGAGGTCCCGGGACTGACATTAGCGGTTACCGGGATAATAAATATCCTGGTAATCAGCGGTCACCAGGGGCCCCTTCCTCCTGTCCTGGGCCCCCTCCAAGTGGCGGAACTCCAGGGCCCGGTCGCGGCCGCGACCTCTGCGACCCTGGTAGTTCCGCCACTGCCTCTTCCTACACTGCCCACCTCTGAATCCCTCTTCCTATTCTGCTCAACCCTGCACCCTCTGCATCTATCTTTCCATTCTGCTCACACTTTGCACTACTTGTGGCATGGAGTGAGCAGTGTAGGAAGAGGGATGCAGATGGTGAAGAAGTTAACACTGTTGGAAGAGGGTGGCAGTCTACTACCCTCTTTCAACACTATTCACTTCTGCACACTTTTGAATACTTCATCTTACACTGTGCACCCCCTTCTTCTAAGCTGCTCACCGCTTGCGGGTTACCTCAGGGCAGGACTCCAGTGCCTGCCAAAGACACAGAGGACAGCGAGTAATGCAGGGGTGGAGCCTAAGAGCAGACAGGAGCCCTGCCCACTCTCCAGGGTAACTAGTTTATGGACAGGCTCCTTTCCTTTCCTCCTTCCATGCACAGGGCCCAGACACCTTTAGGGAAGAAAGGGAGGAGCCTTCTCATCAATTGGTTACTATGGCAATTGGGTAGGGCCATCCTTCCTTAGTCTTGATGGGGTCCGGTACAACAGCTTGTAGGAGCTGCTGCACGTTCATGAGAACCTGCAGAGCGCAGCAGCTCAGGGCACATCCTATCAGAATTAACACTTGCACATTCATCCTGCAATTGGTCTTTCTGCTGTCTTCAGAGAATACACAAACCACATTGGCACTAAGACCATCAGTTCAGCTTCGTCCTTGCCCTCCCTCCCTCCCTCCCGTTCACCCTGTTGTCTTTAGCTCTTCTTCTCCATGTGTATGTCCCAAGACAGCATAAGGGAGGAGGGCTTAGTGAAGTGACAATGCGGTATGTGTATTGTCTGGAGACAGCAGTGTGGAGAGGGGAGAGGGAACGAAAGAAACTGTGGGATGGATATGCTAGTGTTCGTAGACCTGTGACCTGACATGAATAAACTCTCATAGGGTGTGCCCTGAGCGTGTGCACAGGTTATCATGAACGTGCAAGCAGCTCTTACGAGCTGCTGTCACTCAATGGGAGAGGAGGATCCCGACAATATTGTCGGGGTCTCTTCTCAGCACAGAGGTTAGCCCCACCCATAGTATATCACAAAGTATTCTAAGCTTATGGTGCATTTTTGATTACAGGAGTACATTGCAAAATGTACTCCTGTATCATAAGGAAACTAAAATGCAAAAAAGAAGGTGTACCCCATAGTTCTCCTTTAAAGCACCTTCTTCACCTACAATGGCTTGCTGGACGCACAAAAAAAAAATACAATTGAAAAGGTCACCTCCATAAACTTCCTGATGAAGCTTCGGTGAAACACATAGAAGGCTGGAGAAAGCACAGAATCATGGCTGAATTTTTAATTTACATAAAAGCATGCAATAAGACATGAATATAACGGAATTGATGACAAATGTATGAATTTATAATCATGTTCCTGTACGGGCTCCAGGGAGGTTTTATGTTATAGACATCTACCATTGTTTTTACTTAGATGAATGGATATGCTGTTTTTTATTTATTTATTCATCTATATGTATATTATGATTTGTAATTAAAGTGAATTGTACTATATCTATATGATGTATTTGAAATTTTT